TTACAATCACGAAATTAATATATGTTATGCTCCTTTGTGTGCTCTATTACCCATAAAAATTGCGTGAAAAAAAAGTTGGTGCAACACAACGAAAAAAAATTATATGTGATTTCTGTCTTATGGTATACCCCTGTATTATAAGGTTTTCACATTACATCATTGTTTTTTTTTTCGAAATTTCACATCAGCTTGTTTTAAAACATAAGTAACTAGTCTTAAGAGATGGGATAATAGTTAAAAAAGAAATGAAAAAAAAACAGCCAGTGTTCAATACTTATTATTATTACTTTTTCGTGTCTATCAAAATACAAGAAACAAAATATTAATCATCGTCACTGTTGTAATTAATTACAATCGGAACACTTTGAGTCGCAAATAACTTAGTTAGGACCTCAGCAGGACGTACGATTTTGGACAAATATCATACATATGATAGATAATAAATAATAGCTGCTACATGAGAACAGCATCCCACTGTACGTTCGCCATTGGGGCAATCACAGCAATAACGAAGAATACTATTGTAGTCATTACCTTCGGAAATATAGTGAATGTAAATTCGATAGACTTTTCTATTTATATGTCTTGATTTTACTTCTGCTTTGATGATATTAGGTGCTGATTTCACATATTGTACTGAGAGATTATTTTGATCGTCCATTATTTCGGCCAAGTTAAATGCTGCACATTTAGAAGTAGAAGCTTTTTTGTTAATATATGGGATAAGTCGACACTTCTTACAAAAAATATCATTAACTATTACGATTTTATTCAAACAGTCACTAAACACTTTAGCTTCTTCTTCATTCTTTATAATTTTTTTATAACCAGGAATCTTACACAGGTACTTGTTACAATTTTTACACTTTCTCGACATTATTACTTAATAATGATTTGGTTCGATAGTTAATAATTTCAAAATGCTGATACAAGATACCTATGACAGAATTTGAGTCCCAAACTGCCTTCTTGTGTAATACAAATGACTGCTACTTTAGCTAAACAAACGATGCAGTAAACAGCTCAATAACAAGTTCGAACTTGTTTGTTTATACACTCACACTACAAGGCGCGAATCACATATAATTTTTTTCCGTTGTGTTGCACAAACCTTATAATACAGGGGTATACCATAAGACAGAAATCACATATAATTTTTTTTCGTTGTGTTGCACCAACTTTTTTTTCACGCAATTTTTATGGGTAATAGAGCACACAAAGGAGCATAACATATATTAATTTCGTGATTGTAAGTCACAGAGAACTCAGAAAAAAAAACATGATATTTTTTATTTTTATTTTTTTAATGTAATTTTTTATTCTAAAAATTATAAAAAAATATATGTGATATACTCTGTAATGTAACCTAACACCTCGCGTTAGTTTCACTTCTTTATCTTAATTAGCTTTAGAGATATATCACATTCAGTAATAGTCAAGCATACGGATATTTTGCTCTCTATCTCAAGGTCAAAGCGGAAGTCGGTCGCGAAAAGTACATAAATCGTGTTTGAACATCAAGTCGATATTAAAACATAAGTTTCAATATCGATTCCCATTTGGGGGCCGACTCGTCATACGTATCCGGCTAAACCCTTTTGGTGTTTTATTCATCATCTCCAGATATCCATATTTACCTACAGAGGTGTTCAATAAGTCTTGTCGTATGATCTTATGATATAATGTTTTCTCAAAGTAACGTCCTTCACAATTAATACATTTCATCATACGCTTAAACCAATCATCAATACAACTTTCCCATTTTTCTTTAGAAATTAATTCCAGCTCTTCTTCAAAAGCACCGATCAACTGCTCTTCCGAACAGAATTTGCGTTCTTTCATGCGAGTTTTGACGTATGAAAATAAACCAAAGTCACAAGGTCAGGGATGTAGGGAGGATGCTCCAACACTTTGATGCCCACCATCTTCAAATAGTCCATTGTGGCGCCAGCTCTCTGAGCGGGGGCGTTATCGTGGTGAAGGAACCACGAACTGAGTCTTGAGTTTGGTCTGCGATTTGCTAGCTCCTCGAACACCTGAGCCAAACAAGAAGACAGTCTATGGTACACTAACCATAGACTGTCTTCTGTCCTTCGAGAATAACAGATTTTATGACACCTCGTTTATTAAAGAATACTGCTATCATTCTTTTACCGACCGATTTCGATTTACGCGGCTGAGTCTGGCTGTTCCTCGTCATCAAAGACCCATATCTTGCTCTGTAATTTAGTTGGCACATCATAATAATATATCCAAGTTTCATCACCTGTAACAATTGAAATCATGTCCTTTGCTTCTCAGTTAGTTTTTACGTGTATTTGTTCCGTCACATTTTTTTTGTAATATAGCTACAGGAATGTGTAAGAGTTCTTCTAACTGCCGGTAGGTAATATGTCTGTTATCCTGTATACCTTTCTACACACGAGCTGCGTTTTCTGGCACATTCACTTCAACAGGCCTTCCCGGCCTTATTCCGTCGTCTAATCCATATTGACCCCGTTTGAATCTTAAATACCAGCGTTCTATAGTCCTTACAGACGGCGTTTCATGATCAAATATGGAAATCATTTTATTCAGGCATTCTTTTTTACTTAAACCACGTTTAAAATTATAGTTAAAAATAGAACGATAATTCGATTTCGATTTGTGAAAGTCGCCATATCAATGTCAAAGAAAAATTACTGCGCCCAAACTCTTAGTCGTAGCACAATGAAACCAAATGTTAATTACTTGATAATGATTTTCAAAATAAAAATATTTATTTTTCTTCTACCCTCCAATACTAACCATACGACAAGACTTATTGAACAGCCTTTGTATAATATTTAGATGTTACTGAATAATTATGTTATTGAACCATTTATCTATAATATTAATCAATATTTACCTTTGTTAAGATATAATTATGATCATTTGTGAAACAATCGAAATCTATCGCGTTAATACCCGTTTTATATAATGTAATAATAATGCAACGCGTAAGTTCAAAAGTTTATAGAATTTATGAAGTTGTCATTATGCGAATTTATCATCTAAGGTGTTAACATAATGAGAAGTTGACCAAATGCGAACTTGTTATTGTGTGAAGTTGACATTATAAGAAGTTGTCTTTTAGTCTTTTCACAAAAATTAGTTTGGTTTTAGCAGAGGTAAATGTCCCACTGACGCTGGAATTGCACTTCTGAGACATATCTATGATGCTTGGGAGAATAAACAAGATGCTATCGGCATTTTTTGCGATCTACCAAAAGCATTCAACCACGTTTGTCATGAAACGCTGTTGGGGAAATTAGAGCATTATCGTGTGACGAAAAATCGAATAAAATCTTATCTTTCTGTTAGAATTCAAAAAGTAGTAATTTATGAAGCGAAATCTGAAGGGGCACCTATTACTATGGGCGTACCTTAGGAATCGGTATTAGGACCATTACTTTTTTCTAATTTACATGAATGTTCTTCCTCACTTTACAAAGAATTTGTGCGAGACAGTTTTATTTGCCAATGACACCTCTTAAGTGTTTGAAGTTAATGTAAATAGTGAAAAAGTTGAGTTGGTGGAATCGATAAAGTTCCTTGGTATTACACTAGATTCTGACTGCAATGGGATCTTCATATTGATAACTTGTCAAGTAAACTGAGTACTGCAGCATTTTCTGTTAAGATAATTAGACTCTTGACAAATGTTGAAACGACAAGATTAGAATATTTTTGTTATTTTCATAGTGTCATGACGTATGGTTTATTGTTGTGGGGTTCTACGGCTAGCATTCAAGATATTTTTATTCTACAAAAGAGAGCTGTCTGCGCTATATGTAATTTATTGTCTAGAAAAACTCTCAGAAAAATATTTAAAGAAATAAATATTTTGACTGTTGACTCTCAATAAATCTATGAAAATATTATGTACGCAAGAAAACATTACGATTCCTTCACAGAGTAGTGTTTATAATCTTAACACAAGAAATAAAAATAAACTTGTCCTTCCAAGCTTCAGACTTCAGAAAACCAGAGGATCATTTCTGGGTAAATGCACTGCTATGTTCAATAAAGTTCCACAAAATGTGATTGACCTACCCATAAATAAATTTAAAATTCATGTAAAGAACACACTTAGAGTAAAGGCTATTATAAAGTTGATTGTTATTTTAAGGATCACAATGCATGGAATTTCGCTTTGTTCTATATATGTACAACCTATGACCTATAGACTTTGAAAGTTGTATTTATTATTGTGATAATACATATTTTTTGGTAATAACATGATTTATATAAATGTCATTACTTATGATAAAGAGCTGGTAAGTTCCTTTCGCTTGTTTTTCTTGTCAGCTAAAAGACGTCCTGAAAGTGGTAGGGGAAAAAAAATTTTCGGACGATTCACAAGTGCTTGTATTGCCTACTTGAATAAAGATATTTTCATTTCATTATTATGGGCTGAAACGAGAAAGAAGAAGTGGAAATATTTATTGTTTGAAAAAAAAAATTAACTTTTTTCTGTTCTGTAATCAGTTTCACAATAATTACTTGTTATAAAATTTCAATAACATGCTTATAATTAACGAACAAGTAAATTAAAATATTATTATTCTTAATGGCACCGTTTAATATTAACGTTATAATAAAAGTAGATCAGTCTTTCGATTACTAGAACAGTAGGTTTTTTAAGTTTATTAATCGGCTCTATAATTCTCATCATCTTAACATTATGCCACACAATGGGTACAGTCAAAAGGTTCAAACAATACGATAACATTTTATTTCTCAAATTTAGCACCATGTTGCGGCTATAGCTGACGTACTATATTGATGTTCCAAAGTTCATATCTATTTGTGCACGGTGATTAAAGGCTGATGTTAATGCTTTCAATGCTAATATAACACTAATGAACTGAAGTCAGAATTACAGCAACACATAATATATACCTATACATAATATTACAGCGGTGTCAGATTTTATTTGAACATATTTATTCGCCTGCGCAATGGGTTCAGCTGCTCACCTCATGTCGTTATTGAAATGGGGGATAATAATGCTGCGAAGTATAGCCGGGTGGCATATATTGGCCATAACTAGAATTTGGTGCGGGCGGAGGGGGCGCGGCTGGTACCGGTTGAGGCGCTGTGATAGGAACGCGTGATGCTGTTGGAAACGCGGCAGTCGTTGGCGAACCTGTGAAAAAACAAATTCTCAGACAAGAACCTTTTCGGGTTATTTTGATATAGATCATTCATTTAATTTCTAAATAATATATTTAATAATTTCTGAATCATAAGGGCATAATAATCGTGCACAAACATTTCTATGGAAAGATAATGCTAAACTTTATGTATGATCTTTGTGAAAATATATCACAAAGAAGATTAATATTTAACTATAAATTACAATACAGTAAACCAGGAGAATGTATTTCTGACCGGACGACATAATTTTTATGTGCTGTATATTTTACGATAAATATATTTGGTTTTTTTTTTGCCTTTTTTTATTATAAGATAACTTGATAACAAGAATTAAAAACAATATTATTATGTAATTGCACCTAATAATTCTTTTCTAAAAGAGCTAAGTAACTAAGAAAACGATTATAAATTAAATATATTTTTTTTAAATAATGCTACAAGAATATTTAGTTGTTTATTTTGTAGTGAAGTAACAAAAATAACAGTTAATATCATAATATGTATATATTATGATATTAACTGTTATTTCTATACATCTTCCTTATTATAATAACAATAATTTAACAAACTAACAATAATAGACAGCGCCTACTCAAGCAAATTGATTGATGTTATTAAAATTTATCATTTGTCAACTATCTTAAATGGTTACCCATACTCATGACATGTTTTAGACAAGTAATTGGTTTTTTGATAAATTATAATATCTTTGTAATATCTTTGTATGTTTATAGTTGTTAATAAAAGTTGTTACATTGTATGTAACTAATTTTATGTAACTAATTTAATGCCATGTGTTTTTTTATTATTATTATATCTCCCTACTTTTTGCAGGTTTTCAGAGTAATATTTTAGTAATGAAAATTATTTGTTCATATTCTCTGAACATATAACAGAAACCTATATTTTCACTCGTAGCACAAACTCCTATTATGATGTTATTTTGTAATTTTAGTTAAAACTAATTTGGACGTTATGCTTTGACCAAAAACCAGCTGAACTTAGTGATCTTTTCTATATGCGCCGTCTTATGTGTAACCAGAAACTTTGGATACAAAGTTTTTGATATATATACAGCTGTACAGTTTTTTGACTTTGAAAAATTATTAATATTATGTAGGCGCATTACAAAATTACTATGAAGTTGGGCTGATAGATGTCAAATGTGTTCCATTATGATCCTACTAACTTAACTACGTAATTATTATATATTATTATTATCTGATAATTATCCATAGTTACAGGCCACAATATTTTAAATACAAAAAGGTATGCATAGTTGAATGAACTTTTTGTCATCTTAAATTATAAAAAATATACATACAAAATAAACAAAAATAGCTGTCAAACTACATTTAACAAAAAGAGAAATGAAAATATAAATAAAATATTTTTTTAATAAAAAGGGTTCTTTAATTTAGTTTTGTAGGGCTATTTTAGAAAATTTTCTGTATCAGAAAAACCATATTTTACAGTCCTAAAGTATAAGCAATAAATTCGGGACGATTAGAACAATCGGATTTTATGTCTGTCGCTCAAGTGCCAGGGGACTACTTACCAAACGAACTATATCTCATTATGGCTTCTAAGCCTACTTCTCAAATTTCCTATTTAGCATTTAGCCTACTCGCAAAATACCAACTTCTCAAATCGTCTACTAGTCAAAGAACAATCAAGATCAACAATCAGACAAATTGATAAACCTATTTTATGTCTGTCGCTCAAGTGCCAGGGGGACTACTTACCAAACGAACTATATCTCATTTTGGCTTCTAAGCCTACTTCTCAAATTTCCTATTTAGCATTTAGCCTACTCGCAAAATACCAACTTCTCAAATCGTCTACTAGTCAAAGAACAATCAAGATACAGACAAATTGATAAACCTATTCATTGTCCAAGGAAAGAGCAATTTTAATTTAAACTGTAATAATGGTATACAACACAGCAAGGAAGTTTTAAACTTTTTATTTATTTTTTTAATAAAATATGTACGATGGTTCTCGTGACTTGATCTAAAGATTTGTGTTTTGGTTACATCTAAAGTTATCGTTATACTGCAGCACCTACGATTAGCGCAGCACCGCAAGGTACAGCCAGACTTATTCGTTTTTTTCATAATTATACCTGTATCCGTCTTGTAAATAGAGAAAGACGACCAACTTGGTTTTTAGTAAACTGAAATGAGTAATTTTACTTTTATAAAAACTGAGTGCTTATACCTTTTGTAAAATACACTTCTTGAAACAATTCGTAATTTACACTATTTCTAATGATAAAATGTCCCGCAGAGATGATGAATACATATTGTTCGGTTTCAAAATCCGTTACAAACAAAGTATTGAATATGGTAACACAACTTTATTCATCCGCCTACCTACCTTTCCCTAACTTGGACAAATATAAAATAATCGAGGGTAGACAGACAGTCACTGACAACTGTCTGTAGCATCTCCGCCGCCATAGCGAATGGTCGATCCCGCAAGATCCCATTCCAATCAAATCTTAAAGCGCGAAAGTGTATTCAGCAAATACATAGAAAATCAACGCTGTGTGAGGGGGCAGTTAGGACGATAACAAAATTATCCCAGAACAACGCGGGAGACTTACGACCAGCGGCTTAATACCCTGGGCTATCGAAGAAACTAAAAGTAAGTCCAAACTCCTTTTTGTTCCACACATATTTCCTGGTCCTTCAGATCCAAATTATCCTTTCGAAAATCATCCTATCCTGAAAATCATCTTATCGTTTTCCAAAAGTTGCGTTATCATTTCTTTTTTATTTTTATGTCGCAGATAGGAAAAATATTAATAGTGCTGTCGTAGTCTATGACTTTCTATGCGTCACCACACTATCGATTATTGAGAGTAATAAATGATCGATGGCTTAATTTACTTGAACTCGTTGCCATAAATGTCATTCAATATAGTCTATGTATGACCTAGTTTTTCATTTTGACGTTTTGTTGTAAACAACTTATATTTTTACCCGGTGGACTTTATCGTTTACTTATTTCTTTATTTTTGATTTTAGTTATCTTTCATAAAGACATCGAATAAAAGCGGAAAGCCTAAAATTGCAGTATCGGATGATGATACCTCGAAATGCGCTCTAAGTACTATAAAACTAAATGCAAACTTTAAATTTATGGACGTGCTTTATAACTTGGCAACACAATCTACTAAAGATCCTTCATTATTATCATCTTTTAAGGTTCATTTACGTGATGTGGATGTTTATCGCACTAATTTTCAGGAAGCTCACGACTTTTTACTAGTTATGTCTACAGAATAAAGTTTTAAAGTTGACTTGGAAAAGCAGTATAGTGCTTTCTATGACAAATATTATTCAGTGCAGATATTAAATGATTTACACAAGGAACACAACAATCTCTAAATCAAACACAGACACATATAGTGCATAAATCAAGTAATTTTGTTTTACTTAAAATAACTTTACCAAAATTTTCTGGTGTTTACACAGAGTGGCCTAACTTCATAGCTATGTTTGAGAGTTTAGTGCATGATAACAGTGAACTACCTTGTGTACAAAAGATGCACTATTTGTTATCTGTATTAGACAAAGAACCTTTGAATCTCATCAAACACTTAGAGCTTTCAGATGGTAATTACTATATAGCTTACAACTTATTGAAGAATAGGTATCAAAATAAAAGATTAATTGCAGATAATATTTAGAGGCTATTTTAAATATAAATCAAAATCAATTTAACAATAATTTAAGAAAGTTAGTTAACACTCTTAAAGAAAATATTCAAGCTTTAGACGCTTTAGGTTTTCAAACAGATTCTTGGAGTTTTATTTTATTACATATATTGTTACGTAAACTTTCAATAGATTTGAGGAGCAAGTTCGAGTTAGATCACCAGCGAGAATCAACTAATGACATTCCAACCTTTAACAAATTACTTGAATTTTTGGAAACTCAGTTTAAGGTGTTGGAATCGGTCATGGGATCTAATCAACTTTCCACTACATTAGTAATAATAATACTCAAGCAAACAATTCTAAATCATTTATGGTTACGCTCCCATACACATGTTATTGTTGCAAAGGTGAACATAGCATTTACACTTGCCACAAATTCAATTCAATGACACCAGATGATAAATCCGATGATAAATGACTCCGACCACAGCCGTGCCCAAAAGTATGATAGATCCACCATGAACATTATGAACAAGTGAAGGTTGAACTGTAGAGCTACGTGTCGATACAGCAGCCCTTGACTGGATAGTAGAAGCTTGAGAAATGCAAGCATTAGTATCGATGTGCAACTTAGTATAATGACGGCCACAACAAATTTGACAACAGCTCCTAGACTGACATTTATTTATAGAATGTGTGCGTAAACAATTAAAACATAATTTGTTATCAATGACAAACTGTTTCCTATCATCTGGTGTCATTGAATTGAATTTGTGGCAAGTGTAAATGCTATGTTCACCTTTGCAACAATAACATGTGTATGGGAGCGTAACCATAAATGATTTAGAATTGTTTGCTTGAGTATTATTATTACTAATGGAGTGGGAAGTTGATTTAGATCCCATGACAGTTTCCAACACCTTAAGCTGAGTTTCCAAAAATTCAAGTAATTTGTTAAAGGTTGGAATGTCATTAGTTGATTCTCGCTGGTGATCTAACTCGAACTTGCTCCTCAAATCTATTGAAAGTTTACGTAACAATATATGTAATAAAAACTCCAAGAATCTGTTTGAAAGCCTAAAGCGTCTAAAGCTTGAATATTTTCTTTAAGAGTGTTAACTAACTTTCTTAAATTATTGTTAAATTGATTTTGATTTATATTTAAAATAGCCTCTTAATATTTATCTGCAATTAATCTTTTATTTTGATACCTATTCTTCAATAAGTTGTAAGCTATATAGTAATTACCATCTGAAAGCTCTAAGTGTTTGATGAGATTCAAAGGTTCTTTGTCTAATACAGATAACAAATAGTGCATTTTTTGTACACAAGGTAGTTCACTGTTATCATGCACTAAACTCTCAAACATAGCTATGAAGTTAGGCCACTCTGTGTTAACACCAGAAAATTTTGGTAAAGTTATTTTAAGTAAAACAAAATTACTTGATTTATGCACTATATGTGTCTGTGTTTGATTTAGAGATTGTTGTGTTCCTTGTGTAAATCATTTAATATCTGCACTGAATAATATTTCTCATAGAATGCACTATACTGCTTTTCCAAGTCAACTTTAAAACTTTATTCTGTAGACATAACTAGTAAAAAGTCGTGAGCTTCCTGAAAATTAGTGCGATAAACATCCACATCATGTAAACGAACCTTAAAAGATGATAATAATGAAGGATCTTTAGTAGATTGTGCACTAAGTTGATTTGCCAAGTTATAAAGCACGTCCATAAATTTAAAGTTTGCATTTAGTTTTATAGTACTTAGAGCGCATTTCGAAGCCTGAGCTGTTAAATCAGATGTGACTTCGAAGTGTACCGCTTTCACGGCAAAGCATACAAACACGCAAAGGTACGCTTTGAGCGTCTTTGCCTTGCCCATGTTAGAAACCTTTATTTTTTTTTTCATTTATTTGTAGCAACAACAGTCATGCATAATTATGTTACTTAAAATACACTTATTCATATAGCTAAAGACCTAACGTGCCATCGTTTTACTAATATAATATTTGATGGAAAGACATATTTCGCCTCTCAAACGTTGGAAATTGGTTCAACAAATATCACATCACTTTTGGAAAAGATGGCAGGGCAATGTTGTAAATTCACAATTTACAACAACGCGCTAAGTGGTGTAAAAACATTCCAAATTTACAATTAGGTGATCTTGTTTTAATCAAAGATGATAACACTACTCCACTTAGATGGCGAAAGGGTCGAGTAGATACTCGATCCAGGCTCTCCATCCAGGCAAAGACGGCGTCATACGCATAGTACAGGTTTAAACTGGCTCAGGGTCTTGTATTAGATCTGTATCTAGTCCATTGTCCAAATGCGATTCAAATCAACGAATTTAAATAGTATCTTAACCAATCTTTTTTTTAAGTTTAATTTATTTAGATATTTACATCCATTTAGTTTCATAGTACATCAGCGGTAATCTGCAATCAATCCAACGAATCTTTCAGAAACAATATTTCGGATTTTGCATGCTTACCCAAATCTTTTATTTGAAAATCATCTAACCTAACTCTACATTTGTGATTTTACTAAAGAGCTTAGCAGCTCTTTGGGGAGCGGTTATGTTCGGTTTCAAAGTGCGTTACAAACAAAGTATTGAATATGGTAAACAACTTTATTCATCCGCCTACCTACCTTTCCCTAACTTGGAGAAATATAAAATAATCGAGGGTAGACAGACAGTCACTGACAACTGTCTGTTGCATCTCCGCCGCCATAGCGAATGGTCGATCCCGCAAGGTCCCATTCCAATCAAATCTTAAAGCGCGAAAGTGTATTCAGCAAATACATAGAAAATCAACGCTGTGTGAAGGGGCAGTTAGGACGATAACAAAATTATCTCAGAACAACGCGGGAGACTTACGACCAGCGGCTTAATATCCTGGGCTATCGAAGAAACTAAAAGTAAGTCCAAACTCCTTTCTGTTCCACACACATATAATATGTATATCGAAGAAATTCTTTTAAATAGTAGGCAATGATATTAAATATATATAAGATCACGTTAAAACTGGTTTTAGTGTAACACAAACCGTCCGCGCTGACAACCACACGCGTAGCTTTCAGCGCATACTCGTTTCAGTGTCGTGTTCATCGCTACGACGTACAGATATGGCCAATATTAGTGTTCATATTGCTGTTGTGTATTATTTATGCAAAAAGAAGCGACCATTTTTGTTGAAAAATTGCTAATGGGTGCATTTGTGACATTGTTCAACTAGTTGACATTATTTGAAACAGAGATGAAAGGGATGACGATAACAGCTCCTTGTTACTAATTTCGCATTTTACAAAGAAATTTTGACCCGCTAATTAATGACCTAGTTTAGTGATATGTTTTTAGAGTGGATTTATATTTATAGAGTGGATCGGATGCATTCACATACTTGTCTCGTGTTCATTGCCACTCCACACATGACTATATATACTAAAACAAGCCTAAGACTCACCAGTGGATGCATACGAAGCTTGTGTAAAAAAGGAGGTACGTGCTGGTGGTGGCGGCACAGCAGGTTGGTACGGAGGGTACACTGGTGGTGGTGCGGTAGGCCGGTACGTAGGGTACGTCGCTGTCGCCATCGCAGCTGCCGCCACAGGCGCGGGAGGCGGCACGCCGGGTTGATACGTCGGATACGACGTCGGTGCAGTCGATGTCGATGCCACATTCGTTGAAGTCACGCCAGGGCTCAGATATGCTTGAGCACTGATAGTAATTACTCCCAATAAATCGTTTTTGCAAAAGACATTTGTCTTATTATATATGACAATCTTATTTTTATAATAAAATTATATTAGATTTTTTGATACAAGGGTGGTTTGAAAAGTTCTCGGCCTGACCGAAATTTGAGGGTAGTAAATTAACTAATTTGTTAACCACTCGGTTAGGGTTGGGAATTTTTAACTGTTCCTTCATTAATGTAAATATAGATTTTATGGTAGGTAAATTATAACTTATCAAATCAATTACGGGGTTGTACATATATTTCACCAAGAATTTTTATTTAAACATTTTTATTTTGAGTCGGTCTCATTTAGTAATTGTAGAAGATAAACGTGTACTGAATAAGCTTTCGCGTGTAGGTAGTTAATTTAATGAAAAAAAATCAAATACATCATATTTATTGGCTTTCCAATATTATTCATTATGTATACATATATTAATGCATTTATTTGGCAACTCTAGCCTCAGTATAAGATATAGAAGATAATTATTGTTTTTATTAATTAATATGTAAATCTTTTTTGTACTGGTATGTTATATTGCTATTATATTGAATCACTAATTTTAACTAAATAAATCAAGTATTTTGGTCTCTTTCAGTTTATGTAATACTATATTATAAATAATTTATTTAAATTAGCTTTTCAAACCATAATTTAATTTAGAAAAAGCTAAATAAATTGATAGAACTATAACGATAAAAAAATGACACTAAAAAGAAATAAATGAGTCATTGATAAAAAAGTAAAAATATCTTATAGCCGTCACTTTGACCCTTATATTAATCCACAAGGAAGTCAGAGGGCTTTAATATTTTCTTTTCTTATGAAACCTAATCTATACTAATAATAATTAAAATTTTATTATTTGTTGGTTTGCATTTAATAGGGTTTGAATGACTGGATTGATTTAATAAGTTTACCTACGGCAAGCTACATACAGCGTACGCTAACGACATAGGCTATAAATTTATTTAAGAGAAGTGGCGGGAAAATAGCTAATCAAAGTACATACATAGCATCATTACTATAAATATAACAAATCATTGTACTCGTATTAATACCACATCCCTAGTCGAGCTTAAGATAGTCTTTGTGTCGGAAACTTCGAGGAAATAAAAATGTATGATTTTGAATTGAACATACGTAAGGGGCCATTCATTTATTACGTAAGACGATTTGGGGGGGGCGGGGGTGTCAAACATGTCTTATTTTTTCTTACAAGGGGGTGTGGCAGGGAGTTCTTATGTAATTTCACAAAAATACGCGAAGTTAAAATTATACTTTGTAAATCGCGAGGGCGACCGCGTAAGTCCCTATGTTCGTTCGGATGCGTAAGGTAAGCAACGGACCTACGCTGCCCGCACTGCGCCTGCTGGGAACTCCCCCTCCTGTAGACTAGTCGTCACTTGTTTGCATAACACTCGTTATTGCGTGAACAGTTATAATATTGTAGTGACAAAGTAATATTTATTTAAGTGTGAATAGTTTATTTTATTGATGTATGTCAATTGCACAATTCTTTATTGTGTTATGGCTTCCTTGTCAAACGCCGAATTATATAAATATTCATACAAAATATGTTATTGGTATTTGTCAGAGAAAAAAAAAAGTCATTGATTTGGAGTTCAATTATAATGGATAATGAACCAGTAGTAGCAGGATGCGGACGTTGGAGAAATGACAGATGTATTAGGTCCTCACATATGAAATTGGTGTTTTGTATGGAAGGAACATAAAATCAAATATTTTTTAATATATTTATTCATAGTATAAACCATTGTTATCTATGCACTTGCCATCTCATTGGTAGTTCATTGATCCCCTTACTAAAAAAACCATTCGGACAGGAATCAATAAAATCTTTGCGATTTGCACTGCCAATAAATGCGATTTGCACTGCCCCATCGGAGTTGAATTTTTTCCCTTGCAAGTTATCCAATTTCGTAAAAAATGGTAATCTGTTGAAGCAAGGTCCGGGGAGTAAGTTGGATATCTTAGCCATTCCAATTGAAGTTCTTCTAAATTGGTAGCCGTCTGTTGTGCAGTGTGTGGTCTAGCGTTGTCGTAAAGCAGTGGCGTAGAGCGATTGACCAGCCAGTTGTTTAACAGCTAGTTTTTCCAGAATGGTTTGCAATTGCTGACAATAGACGTCTGCCGTAATCGTCTAGCCAGATTTGAGACAGCTGTAATGAACGACACCGGCAGTAGTCCACCAAACGTTTACAAGTAAATATTTTGGGGTCAATTTTCGCTTGGGGCAGGATTTGACTGACATGCCAGGTTCCAACCATTGCAATGAGCGCTTCCGATTATCGTAGAGAATCCACTTTTTATCACAGGTAATGATTAGATTTAAAAACTCTTCATTATAGTGCCAGTTAAGTAATGTAACGCAGCAGTCGAAACGCGTTTGCCGGTATGCTTCACTCAATTCGTGAGGTACCCACCCTTCAAACTTTTTAATCTTTCCAATTTGCTTCAATTGGATTAAAAAAGTTTTATCACTAACACCGCAGCTTGCGATGAATCCGCTTCCACAATAGCCTTCAATTCTTCATTATTAAATTGGATCTCCGGCCGTCCACGGGGCTTGTTCTGCAGGTCGAAATTTCCAGAACGAAAACGTTGGAACCAAAAACACACTGTTTTATTTTGCGCCACAATCACCATACACGTCATTAACCCTTCGTGCCGTTGCCGCAGCACTAGTACCACTGGGTCACGTAAATAGGACATCAGAAAAAAAAAACACATGAATGCCGCCTAACGAAACACAAATACATGTGTAAACGGCTGTGTAAATTTGAATTTGGAATTCCCAACCGAGAAGAAGAAATTTGTGATTAATGTGGCCAGTACGACAAAACGCCAATTTCATATGTAAGGACCTAATATTAGATGATCAACATTGGTATACAAGACATTTTGCAAGACTCACACTCTTTACAAATTATAAAATGCACTCATAAGGAATGTTATGGTGATATAAGGAGTGATATTCGTAAAATCCTCCCACAAGGGTTTTTCCTCAGCCATACCCTATATAAGAAGTGAACCTTCGCTCATATTTCCCCCTCCAGAGGATGTGAAAGCATCCGATCACTTTGCATCTTTGTTTGTTTTTTCGATAATCATTAAACATGGAAGTTGAAGCCCCTTTCAAGATTGTTCCTTATGATTTTAATTGTCCATCCTCAAAAGAAACTGTCAAAGAACTTGTTTAGTATGCTCTAAATACTTTTCGTCGAAAAAACTTCACGACAGCAATTCAAATATTGAAAAAGAAAAAGCTTTAGCCAAATATTTCAGGCGAGGCAAGGAAGTGTTTGTGCCGCAACACAATCCTGAATGACCAACTAGAAGCAACATCTTTTATTAAAGATGTTCCAGTGGCAGATCCACTTTCCGAGTGGGTTTTGAGTACATGGACTGAAAATTTCATGAATGATTAAATCAAACCTTTTTAAAAAAAACTATAAATAAATAAAAATTATTAGTACCTTTGTAAGTACAGATAGATTTTTAATAATTATTACTTTGAATAATAATCATTAAAACAACCCAAACCGGTATTATTTTTTCTTTCAGATTCTTACGTAATAAATATTAAACAGGGAGGGGGTGGGCCTATTTTTTTTTTCTTATAATAGTGGGGAGGGGGTCAAAAACTAGCGAAAATAATCTTACGTAATAAATGAATGGCCCCTAACTAAAGTATACAGTTTATTTTACATATATTTCTTTTTGTTTATAATCACAGTTTTAACAAAATTTTATGATTTTAATTAATATTTCTTCAAATTATTGTAAATTATTGTTTCCACTCTTGTTTTTAATATACATTTATTTTAAAACCAAAAATAAGTCATTTTTACGACTGAGTATATACCTTATCTCATATGGGCATATGCCATACAACGCAAATGCCACGGAATACGAGTTCGCCTACTTGCGACTTTACTCATTTTTCTTTTCTGTGGGTAAACTGTTGAAAAATATTATTTTTTTTTTTCTTCATCATTAAATTACGATAAAGGCGATACATTTAGTTAAAATGTCAAATTACGACAACGCTTATGTACATGTTTCACAAGACTGTGTCGTAGCGAGACGATATAAATAGTTTTTATATATTTTTTTAACACTCATACACATAGCTTGAAAAGTTAACCAGTTTTTATGGTAATGGGTGGATCCAGTAATATACTCACCGATGATTAAGTGACGAAATCGTTTCAGTTTGATGTTTTGTTGCATTTTGTCCATTAATAAGACGACTTAAGCCATTTGTGGCTGTTTGTAGGCTTGATGTACTACTTCTTGAGATATCAGTATCTGAAGATAAAAGCCTTTCTGTTGTTGAATTCGCTAAAAAATATTATTACAAGTTAAAAAAAGAGTCGTTGTGGAAATAAAGGAAACTTTTTGAAAAATAATAGAACAATGTTTAAATACTTACTGTTGAGTATATACCCGAGTAAAATATCTCTCATTGATGATGACTGGATCTAATAAAAATATATATTAAATAAGCTTCTATGTTCGAGGAGTAAAACATTTTATGCTCTAAAAAAGTTAACTTTACACTGTTACTAGGAAAGGCGAAAAAAGCATTACATGAGCTTTGAAAGTAAACGATGCTCTAGGTATTTAAACTATATCACTATCCATTGAACTCTGTATTGTTTCCCCGACGAAATCAATAAAAATTATTATTTTTTCTGGTAGTGTTTAATATACTATTACCGATAAAAACACTTATGATTATTCTTAAATTAATTAATACTAAACAATTATTTTATACTTGTAGTCACGTGACCCCGCAATCAGCGCGTGACGTCGTCCCTCTTACTCATATCATAAACATAACAGAGAATAACCTTAAATATAATAGAACGATATTAGTTTCAGAAGGCCGTGACGTAACGACCGTAACGACGCCATGACAGAAGTTGGTGTAGATTTTAAACCTTTTAAATTAATACTTTTTAAAATATATATTATTGATATATTTCATGTATATAAAAAATATTTAAAAAAGTTGTCTACGGCCCTATTTTTATGACACGGCATACTAATTTATTAAAGAAATAATCTTTTATTTTAATCGAAAGTGACTTCAAAATCTAATGAAGACATTATAAGATCATACTTTTTTTCTCTATTTATAAAGTATTGTTCCGGTAACAGCATGGTTTTGTGAATGTCTTTACCCGCTGGTGAGTTACGTGCTTGTTATTCTTATAAGCCAAAAGACGTCCTGACATTTCAAAAGTACTTGTAAGAAGGTTATATAAGTAAAGGTTACTTTGACTTTGACTTTATTCTGAATAAATGATATTGAATTTGAATGACCTGCCCTGCGAATAGATAATAATCTCCAACACAAAAAAATATTTTTCATATATATATTATACTCTTATAAATACTCACAGAATCCATCACATTGCCAGTATTAGATAATCTATCCTCTAATAATCTATGCATCCTTAGCTGCATGGGTACCTAGAAAATATTAAATGTACAGAAAAAAAGGTTCTTTTCATTTAACTAGTGATGTGTCTATATGGACAAGCAGTCATAATTTTTATTAAGCGTTTCACAATGTGTGTGGCTTAGCGTTATCGTAATGAAGAGACCACAACCTTTCAATTTGATTAACATCTTGCTTTATGACAGAACCAAATGAAGTCAGTGTGAGCTGTCAGTTGCGTTTTATTGACTATGTTTTGCCTCTTTTATTATTATTGTATCTAAGTATCATATTTAATACTTTCTATCTTATTCCCGATGAAGATAAATTCACAAAAATCGGTCCAGTCTTTTTGAAGTTATAAAACAATAAATTCACATAGCACACGAATACCGATATTAACTTTTAAAGTCCACAACTAAGTAAATAATAGAGGCTTATGATGGATTTTGAATACCATAGAAAATGACTATAAAAAACAGTTAAAATATTACATACGTCAACATATTCTTCAACTGCTAAACCTATTTCGCTCGGAAAAAATAACCTCATCATGGCTATTAAGTTCTCATTCTCTTCAGATTTGCTTTTATAGAGGAACTTTTTGTATTCCTTCTGCATTTTAATTTTTTCCAGTTCTTCTAAGCACAGGTCACTGCTACAAAGAAACCCTATAAGTTAGTAAGTATAATCTAATATGACTGTTAAATATTAAGTTTTAATCAAAACCTACCCAAAATCGCGGAAACTTGTAAGATGTAAATGTATTAATGAATAACAATTTGAATATTTTGTTTATTATATCATAAAGACAAAAGAGATTCATTTTGAGTTTTATGATCAATAAGGATCTCATCTAGCAGTAGTACATCGCTGCGCAAAGATTTTTCCTAAATTATATTATTTATATGGTAGTAATTAACCATGGCAATAATGGATATCAAAATTAAGAAATTGATGGACTACAAATCTTTTTAATTTACCAGCAGCAGATTATAAAACTTTATTAACGGCAATAACTAAAATATAATTGATTTTCGCACAGCTTAGCATGTTCTTTAACGTTATAAAAGTATACCTTCGTAATATGCTTATGATCATGCATATTTAAACACGCGCTATATGAGTGGAAAATTGTAATGTCGTAGTTGATTTAGTATTATAAAGCTATTTTTGAAATGTTCTATAAATTCGCTAACAATTCCCTTTTACGCTGATGCTTTGCTCGATAACACTCGCATATACTAAAATTCCTTCATTTTGAAAATTTTGGCTTTGTTTTTGTCAATTACAAAATCATGCAAAAGTAGAATAGCTGATACTCAAACCTTAGCTCCCGTTGTACACATTTTTCGCACATATGGTCAGCTAGTTGCGGATCATCTGCTTTCCTTAGCTTGCTTGGCCCAACTGAGAACAAAATCAACAAACGCCAAGCAAAACATAACATTAGCATCCCTGACATGAAAATAGTAAACGCTCTGTATAGAATTCCACTGAAGTTTTCCTTGCCACATTATCATATCACTAAATGTTTAATTTGTGTTTGTAAATTTTTATCAGTAACGAAAGTTTTAAGATAAGTTAAGCAATAAGTTCTCAAAACAGTAGACTGCATTGCCGAAGATTGCATTTGATTCATTCATTTTAATTAATACAATACTATCAATATAGATATATTAAAATAATTAGGGATTTTCTATTTCTCTTCTTTTTTGCATACAAAATATTTTAAGTATTCTCAATGTAGCAATAACGAGGAAGTAATTAAAAAAACATTAGTTCCCGAAACCAAATTAGATGTTGCTGAGATACTTTCTTGATTTCTCCATGACAACCCTTCCGGTTTTCTTTCATGTGTAAAAGTAAATTAGTTTTCAAACTCAATAAACAACTCATATTCTATTTGTACATTTTAGTAATTGTATTAATATCTAATCTTTGAACTTCGCAAATTTCAGGTTTTTAAATATGTTACTTAAAAGGAACATAAATGACTATGTTTGGTCCATCGTTTCCTGCAAAAATCAACTTTTGCTAGAGTCGCTATCTAGTGGAGTTGCTTTTTTTTAATACAAGCCAATGATTACCATCACACTGATCAGCTGTCCACACAATCGGGCATCCCACATTTGGCAATTGTTATGTGAGAAGTTTAGAAATTATATTTTTTTTTTACTTTTAGTTAATTATTATTGACTTGCGACTTCCCCCTTTAATTCACTTGTAACGTTAGAAGTTGTTTTTACTCACAGTACATGTATAATAACGGACCACACTGCCATTTTCAAATTCCTTATCCATTCGAGGGGTGCGCTAAGCTTCGCGTTAACTAAAGTAAAGACTCGAGTTATTATGTATAATATCTACTTCATTTTGAAGTAATTATAATACTACCAAATGAGGTAGATAGTATTTAAAACAAATGAGGGAGATACTGTTTAAAAAAGTATTTAAACAGTAATTAAAAAGCTGAATTTATTATCACTGTATCTTATGCAATAGTATTTGGAAAAGTAATAATAGGTATACAATAATAATAGGTATATTCTGTATGCACGAAATGGTGTTACTGTTAATCTGAGGTCAGTTTGACATAAATGACTAGCTTAGGATAGAACTGCCTAGCCCCTTACCAAGCTTGAATTTTTATAATAACATTAAAAGTTAAAACTCAAATAGGAACATGTCTTGTTCTTTCTCAATCATTTTATTATGTATTAATTACATTCGCCAATCCCATGGAGATATTGTTAGTTTAGTCTGTTTAGTTATCATTTACAATATCTAGCGAAGGGGTATATGTAATATATTTCTATATATCTATGTATATCATATGTCTTAATATCTGCCTACCCCGCATGGGATACGACGTGAAGATATAGATAGATATATCTAGCGATTATATATAATTTAATGAATCACAATGTCATTATATATGTTTTATTAGGGGCAAATTGCATTCAGTTTGCATCGAGCCATATGTTATTTACACGTAGTTTCACAAACGTCCATTATGGTGTAATGACAATTACAAGCTCCCATGTTCTTAATTTAATAAATTGTATTGTTACTGTCGCTTAAAACTAATAAAAATTAGAATAGACGATTGTGCAACTGAGTGTTAATACATTTATACAACCACTAACTTATGCCCGCGACTTCGTCCACCTGTTATAATTACTTTGAACAGCATTTCTAAAACGAATATTTATTCATTATACCGTATAAAGCTTCAGGATTTTATTTTTGACAATTACGAACTTCCGTAGGTACAATCATAGTAATAGTAACTTATGTCCTATCTCAACTCTGTTTAGTGGGTTAGGCGTGAGAGCGTAACTAAAGCTTAGTTCGCATTAAGCTAGTATTTTAGTTTAGTAGCGAGTATAGTAACTAAAATACTCACTACTGACCGAAAATCGTTCGCACTTTCTTCGAGTTCAGTTCACAAGTGAGTTGTATTTTGCGAGATAAACTGATTAAGCTAATTATAACGGCTATTTTAGAAGAGGTGGATAAGGAAGTTCATGTAATTAATAAAAAGAAGTTATGGATATGGAAATGGATCGACAGAAGAGATAAACTAGGAGCTACTAATTGGACTTAAAATTCCACAAGCATTCATTTTCTAAAAAATTTGGAAACTAATTTTAAAGTTGTTTCTTCGCTCTAGCGAAACGACATTATTAGGCAACTAATGAACTCGACTAATTTGACAGGGTCGGACTCGTTTAGCCGGTGATTCGGTAAGCACGGACGTGAGGTGGGAGGCACTACTCGCCCGAAAATAGAACAAAATGGATCGACTCGACTTAATAACTTACTAAGCTACTCGACAAAATTTTTGTTGTTCAGATACGTTTAGTTACTTAATTACTCGCTCTTAGACTAAAATACTAGCATAATGCGAACTAGGTTTAACATATATTTGCAATACTTAGGCATATATAATATTAATATGGAATAATTACACGATTCTCATGTTCGCTCATTACTTTATCATATATTATATTATAATAAAAAATTACCAGTTAGCAAAATAAATAGACTAAGAACAATATAAATCACGTTTGCTTGGTCGACCTTTAATCTCACAGCTGTTAAAATGAAATTTAAAAGTTGAAACTGTTAATATATAATGAATGTGTCGTAGCTGACTGGGTAACTAACATATCCGTCCAATTAGGCGGCTAGCTCTATATTATAATTGCGCCATTTATTTGCACGGCTAAACGTCGATCATCTGAGTAACAATAACAACGTTCTTTTATAGTGCGGCTGTAGTCAGGAAACTGGATGCCAAAAGTACTTAACAATACTTATCTTATTAATAGCCCTTTTATATCTCCATTGCAGGGGTTCAGGCTTTCCTTATGGATTGGTTAAAGAGGATGGGCCATGAGCCTCCTAGTTGGTTCGACGCGGACTGGAGGGCAAAGAAGTTTCATACAAACGTTTTCACCCTTTTAGAGCCTAGTACACCTCTACATAATAAGAGGAATATGTCCTCCAAATTTTAAGTCTCTATGACCAGCGGTTTAGGCTTTGCGTTGTCTGTTAGTTAGTAAGTCGGGACATCTCTTTTTATATAGGCATATATAGATTATCTCTATCCCAGATTATCCCAAAAACTAACACAGTGATCTTTCTCGTCGATCACTTGGGCAATCAATTGCAATCACGTCCCCTACACATTCGTGATCGTTTCCGATTTTCCATCATGGCCGACGGTGTGAAGGGTCAATGTGGTTTCAGTTTAATTCAATAATAACCCTTAACCAACATTTAAGCAGTTTCATCACAGATTTTGTGTTATTAAGTCCTAAATTGCAAGTTTCTCATCCTTTAATATCAGTTGTTTCGATGGCAAAACAGTCTTAGACAAAATTATTATCAAGATTTTAAAATTATCTAATTAGAAAAGAAAATGATTAGTATTGAAGACATCTTTTGACGTTATTAATCTTGCTGATAATGTGGCTTGGAAAATACAGGTATTCACGACACAAAATTTGACTATAAGATAATGTCAAAACATAAAAAAATATAGAGTATCTAAATTGTCCGGTTACACTAAAATAGTTTAGTTTTATTGTAATTTATCTATATCTATATTTTCATGTAATATATGAATATATAATGTAAGCAAATATAATATGTATACTGATACTGACATTTAATGAAAAATAGGAAAATCATCTTATAACTTCATCAAATCAGAAATTACTATTTATCTCAATAAAAACCAATTCTCATATAGTGTTTATAACACACAGAAATTGACGAGACCTAAATAGTGAGTAGCTGTTAGTAATTCGGTTAAAAAGAGATTGCAGCAAAGTTCATATCTTTAAAACATGCTCAAATATACCAGTACATGTTGACTGCAAATATAATTTATGAAATTTCTCTAACGGAAAACTTATCCAAAATAAATACAATTAAATCTCTCTTCCTCCATTATTTCATGATTGTCATAAAATAAATTTAACAGAAAATGCAGCTGCATCAACACAAATTCAAGTTATACGCGTATACATTTTGAAAGTTGCATTTAGCCATTGGTTCTGACATTGCCAAACGCATTATTGTCAACAAACCACAACATGACTTATTTTAGATAATACCTTCTTCTATATAATATATCTTAAACTAAAAGCAGTAAATTATTTTGAGAGTAATAATAAGTTACAAGAGAAACTTAATGGGTAAGTATCTATCGATACCAAAATAAGAATAAACAAGTTTCTGTGTACACTGGTGAAGTCATACAATATCAAATAAAATATGCACCTCAACGATGTAACTCAGCTTTGAGGACAAAATGTACATAACATGTAGGCAAATTTTGTATCGAAACTTTTCTTCTCAAGACTGCTATTTATTAGAAATTAATTTTCACAATATTTTATTAGGTATATTGCAAGATTTGAGCACGAGCATATTTATTTATGAAAATAACTTTGTCTTTATAGTAAGGCAAGGTAATATAAATTGCAAATATGTATCAAAATTAGGGATTGCAATCCGGATTCTTCGAATTTCAAAAATAACTGAAAAGTCCGGTCTCACAGAACTTTTTCAAATCCGGTTTTTTTTAATTTATATTTGATTTTTCGGATTTGAGTTAAAATAAAAAGACACATTTCAGACACACTATATGAAATTTTTTGACCGAGAGCGTCTGTGCCGACTCTACTTTTTTTTAGTAAAGTATTGATGGCGGGAATGACCAACACGGTAGTGGCCAGAGCATGTTTATATAATACTGGTAATTTTATAGAAATACTTTTGAAAAATTGATCTTTATGATATTTCCATTCAATTTATTTACATTATATTAGCGGCTATGTATATTACTAACATAGCCGATCTTATTTAAGAACGACCGCGAGCGGTAGTGATTGGCCACAACTGGCCGGGCTTGCAGCTACAGATCTGTTTGACGGTTTTATTCAAAATTCTTAACTTGGCTATGCACAATCCTGAAGTATTCCAGACGATGCGCTACCGAATCATACTATTGAGAGGGTTCTGTATTAGAAATTTTCGTATGACGTTTTTGAACATCTTGTACCCGAGGAGGACCCTATTTCCCGGGATCGGGACCCTTTATTTAATTCTGAAGAAGTTGTGTGTCTGATACTGATACGATGATCGACACCCGAAGTGTTATTTATTTTAAATTGATTTTACTATTTCCTGTCATGGATTAGAAAAATTAGAATTAATGCAAATTAATAAAAATATATTTTATTTCAGTTTTATCAAAACACCTTATATCACAAAAAAGGACTATATGTATTTTAATCGGAAAGAACCAAGAAAACCGGATTTCAAAAAAATCTGGATTTTGCATTCCCTAATCAAAATCATATAAAATTATTACGTAAGTATAGAAAATATGTGCAAAGACAATTGCAGAATGTAATGTTTTTCTTAATAGTTTTCAGTATGGTTTTATCATTGTATCAATATCACTCAAATATTCGCTCCAGCTTAAATTTGTCAATTAGAACACGATTTAATAATGTATAATTTAATATTTTTATAATCGCTAAGCAAAATAAACTGGAATTCAAAGTAATGTAATAAATATAAAAATAAAAAAATATATATATATATTAAAAGAAATGTAACACTTAATATATTTTTGTATGAATTGCATTATGTATTTGTTACATAAAATACATTTAGTGAAATATAAATAAAACAATGTCTTGCTTACCTTCACAACTGTCACTATATAATCTTTTACCACCATTTACTATCTTTGGTGGTGGTACACTTGCATCAAATCTGCAAATAAAATTAAACATAATAGACCTCAACAAACTACAACTGAGTTGATTGTTATATGCAAAATATTTATCTCTTATCATAAATATGCATTGTATTAGCAAATTATCCACTTTGAAATTGATAGAGAAATCTTTTAAGATTTCAGCTAATTAGATCACCACCAGGCACTCTACTAACACTGCCTCATCTTAGACATCTACTCGCTAACCACACAGAATCCACGGGTTACCACATCTTCATTACCATTAAACCATTGCACGATTAATGGTGTACTTTAAATACTCAATAAATTGTCCAAGCACAGTCTAGTTATCAAGTCATCTGTAAGTTACCGGTGCTGGGACTCTGAAAATGAATATTCAATCTGTTGTGGACTGTTTCATCATCCGTCTTCCTTGAAATTTTTTTTTTTGTGATAACCGTTCCTGTTTTGCCTGTCGCTTGTCATGGTAAATTTTACATATTGTGAATTTGCTCTTATATTTATAAGAAATAAAAGACAATTCAAAAACGGAAAGCTTGTTGGGTGTAAAGAAAAAGAAATCCTGCCAAGAGGGAATTGGACTCGTGCACTGAATTCTCTACACATTAAAACAAAAAGAAGTGACTTCTACATAGGTTATTTACTAGCTTTATTTTACGTAGCAATAGCATATGGACTGCTTCAGACAGTGATGCTATTAACTGTTAAAGAAGTGCACACATTCTTCATAAATAATACTAACCACGCAAGCTACCAGCTGTTTATAGATATGCTGGTTGGTATCTGGTGGCTCTAATAAGCTGTCAAATTTAAAATACTAACTTATTGTCCACTGAACTATAAACCTATTTAAAAAAATTAAGAACGTAAAAATATCTTACAAGGGTGGAGATGGTTGATTCTGAACTGAATTTGCATGTGGTGGTGGTGGTGCTAGAACAAATTAAAAAACATTAGTGAATACCAGTCCCCCATACAATAGATGGCATTTACATATAAATGCAAATTCTATCACACATGATGATTCATTGCCAATGCCAGAAAGGGGCAAATTTCACTTGAAAAAATTATACAAAAGAGCAAAAACAGCTTTTCTTCTTCGGATGGTGCTATTATTTTCCCCGTATTTCAAAGAAAAATGATTAAAAGGATAAAAATTGAATGTGTAGGTAAGGGTACACTAAAATTGCGAGTTTGTAGGACATTCGCCCCTTTGCGGCATTGGCGACGAATTATTATACTTAGTTACCTGTGTACACTGCTGGAGCTGGTAGTGATGGTACAGACGGTTCTGTTGGTGGCGGAGGTGGTGGTGGTGGAGGCGGTGGTGGTGGCATAACTGTGGGTATAGATTGCAAGAGTGGCAAAGGTGGTGGTGCCGTCACCAATGGTGGTGGCGGTGGTGGTGGTGGCTGAGTCACAAATATCGGCGGAACACCCTCCATAGTGTTAGCAGCAGCAGCCGCAGCGGCATTCATGGCCGCGTGTCTTTCCCGTAGCACACGTGGCAGCTCGTCGGCCTTACGAAAAAGTTTTTCTTCCTCTCTTGAAGTGTGAAGATATGTACAGTTTGGTAATGTACAACCAGTTCTGTTTTGATAATCGTGACAAAAAACTATTATGGATTTCATTTCCTCCATTGTACAATCATGACGAAATCTGCATTGGCCATGTTTATTGCAGATACCCCACACGTAATCCCGACAAACTTCAACTTTTGGTTCAGGCGGTATATTTCTTAGACGCGGATCTCTGGGTGCACCAGATTGTAAAGTATGCGGGCGGCCATTTTGTTCACATTGCAAATTCATTTTCTATAAGAATTAGTAATATATGTATACATTCTATTTAAACCAAAAATCAATATAAAAGCATCTTGGCTTATTTACCTAAGTTTTTTATTTCATGTACGTATGTACTTTTATTTGCTTAAAATTATTTACGCCACCATCAAGCACCTCCGATTCGACCAGCACACCCCAATGCGACTCTATTTTCTTTCAGCCTTAATTGAATGACAATATCTAAATTATATTACTTATACTAAATCACATTGTAATAAAAAATAACGTTCCAACTCCAAGATTCACACAGTAGTCAGTTATGATAATAATATTTAGTACTACAAAACGAGATAAGTTTATGGTAATATTATGGTTTTAGTTAATTAAAAAATACAATAGCTAGACTTACCTTTCACAATATCAACATATTATATTTTTAGTTAACTTCGATAAATAAAAGCTAGAGTCACTCTCTACACACCGAAACCATGGTCAATTATTATTAAAATGGCGACGGCGACGACGCTTAAAAATTTTCTTGAGAGTGATAGTGTTGTGGATTCAGATTTCGATTCGATTTTAACGAATATCGAACTTTTGAATCGATTTTTAATGTCACTTAGATCGATTTCAATCGTCGCAAAACCAAGGAGATCTTTTAATCATAGACTTAGTAATTATAACAGGATAGAGTACTCCCAGCTGAAAAGCGAGTCGAGCGAGATATCAAGTATAGATACCACGTGTCTCATTCAAATGAGGTGACAATAATTTTTTAATAACGATTTTCGACGACCACGTTGGCGGATTACTAAGTAGATAGATTTTATTCATCAAGAATACCGGTGCACCACCAATCTACATTGGGATCTCCACATATTCCCAGTTAGGAATGCTGGGTGGATTGAATTGATGTTGAAGTAGTTAGCGTATTTGATCTCCGAATAGGATGAGTGACCAAATTTTTTTTCATGTTACTAAGATAAAGTGCGCGGCGCATAACAAAAGAGAAGAGAAGAGAGCAAAAACTTGCTACACCCCGCTTCGCCACGCACTACTCTGCCTCATTATTTTTCGAAATTAACTAAAAATATCATATGTTGTCATTGTGAAAGGTAAGTCTAGCTAGTCTTTTTTAATTAACTAAGACCATAATATCACCATAAACCCATCTTGTTATAGTAGTACTAAATATTATTATCATAACTGCCTTATGTGTGAATCTTGAAACGTTATTTTTTATTAAAATATTGTTAAGTATATATATAATAATTAAGAAATTGACATTTAATTAAGGGTGAAAGAAAATAGAGTCGCATTGGGGTGTGCTGGTCGAATCGGAGATGCTTGATGGTGGCAAAAACATTTGTAAGCAAATAATATTACATACGTAGATGAAATAAAAAACTTAGGTAAATAAGCAAAAATGCTTTTATGTATACATATACTACTAACTCTAATAGAAAATTAATTTGCATTAGAACATAATGGCCGCCCGCATACTTTGCAATCTGATGCAACCAGAGATCCGTGTCTAAGAAATATACCGCCTGAACCAAAAGTTGAAGTTTGTCGGGATTACGTGTGGGGTTTTTGCAATAAACATGGCCAATGCAAATTTCGTCATTATTGTTCAATGGAGGAAATGAAATCCATAATAGTTTTTGTCACGATTATTAAAACAGAACTGGTTGTACATTACCAAACTGTACATATCTTCACACTTCAAGAGAGGAAGAAAAACTTTTTCGTAAGGCCGACGAGCTGCCACGTGTGTTACGAGGAAGACACGAGGCCATGAATGCCGCTGCGGCTGCTGCTGCTAACACTATGGAGGGTGTTCCGCCCATATTTGTGGCACAGCCACCACCACCACCGCCATCATCATTGGTGACGGCACCGCCACCTTTGCCACTCTTGCAATCTATACCCACAGTTACGCCACCACCACCGCGTCCACCACCACCACCTCCGCCACCAACAGAACTGTCTGTACCAACACTACCAGCTCCAGCATTGTACACAGGTATTTAAGTATAATAATTCGTCGCCAACACCGCAAAGGGGCGAATGTCCTACAAACTCCAATTTTAGTGTACCCATACCTACACATTCGATTTTTATCCTTTTAATCGTTTTTCTTTGAAATACGGGGAAAATAATAGCACCATCCGAAAAGGAAAAGCTGTTTTTGCACTTCTGTATAATTTTATTAAGTGAAATTTGCCCCTTTCTAGCGTTGGCGACGAATTGTCATGTATGATAGAATTTGCATTTATATGTAAATGCCATCTATTGTATGGGGGACTGGTATTCACTAATGTTTTTTAATTTGTTCTAGCACCACCACCACCACATGCAAATTCAGTTCAGAATCAACCATCTCCACCCTTGTAAGATATTTTTATGAACTTAATTTTTTTAAATAGGTTTATAGTACAGTGGACAATAAGCTGTATTGTAATGAAGTAGTTAGTATTTTAAATTTGACAGCTTATTAAAGCCACCAGAAACCAACCAGCATAGCTATGAACAGCTGGTAGCTTGCGTGATTAGTATTATTTATGTAGAATGTGTGCACTTCTTTAACAGTTTATAGTATCACTATCTGAAGCAGTCCGTATGCTATTGCTACGTAAAATAAAGCTAGTAAATAACACTTCTTTTTGTTTTTATGTGTAGAGAATTCAGTGCACGAGTCCAATTCCCTCTTGGCAGGATTTCTTTTTATTTACACCGGACAAGCTTTCTGTTTTTGAATTGTCTTTTATTTCTTATAAATATAAGAGCAAATTCACATATTGTAAAATGTACCATGACAAGCAACATGCAAAACAGGGGCTGTTATCACAAAAAAAAATTAAGAGCAAGACAGATGCTGAAATAGCCCACAATAGATCGAATATTCATTTTCAGAATGCAAGTCCAGCACTAGTTACTTACAGATGACTTGTGAACTAGACTATTCATGGTCCATTTATTGAGCATTAATTGCGCAATGGTTAATGGAAATGAAGAGGCGTCAACCCGTGGATAAGATGAGGCAGTGTTAGTTAAAAATATATATATATAAATTTCAGATAGGCTATCGAACAATATATAATTTTACTCGGTCAACACCAAAGTGGATAATTTGCGAATGGAAGGATACATGATAATGCATCTACAGGATGATAGCAGACAATATTTTGCATATAACAATCAACTAAGTTGTAGTGTTTTGAGGTCTATTAATTTTAATTTTATTTGCAGATTTGACTCAAGTGTACCACCACCAAAGATAGTAAATGGTGATAAAAGATTATATAGTGGCAGTTGTGAATTTAAGCAAGACATTGTTTTATTTATAATTCACTAAATGTATTTTATGTTACGTTTCTTTATATATATAACGGAGGACGGAGTTCGGATTGATCTTCCATAATTAGCTATTAGTAACTATCGTGGGCGTATGTGGGGATGTGTGGGATCAAATAATAACACTAGGATAATGCTTTCACAAATTTTCTAATTACAATCCAAAACAATTATAACAACTTCTTTCACTATGATTAGAATTACTTAAATTAGTTTTAATATACACAACGGAACGCGAGACAGTCTCAACGCACTCACAGCCCGCCAAATTCTTATTATTATTATTTTTTTTTTTACCGTTCTTCGATAACAAACAGGTCATAGACTCCTTTGACAGCCCGCGTCCATCATTTTGGCGCGAAGCTTTATTTCCAGCACTGTGAAGCGTAGATTCTGTCAAACGCCGATAGATGGCGTTGGCATTCCGATTTAAGAATCGACTCGTTGACGACACGGCCATCCTGCTAGCACACGTCCTCGTGTGTCAACCTATTGTCAAACAAAAAAAAAACACCCAGTGTATAATGTGTTTTGTAACGTTCGGTCATTCCTGACCAACTACCAAGTATGTTTTTACAATTTTATCTCTACTACTATTAACAAAGAACTCTTTTTTTATTTTATTTAATCTCTACACTTTGCTATTTCTTTAGATTGTTAACTGATCAATTTACACTTTTCATTATATTACATTAAAATTAAATTTGAAACTGTGAAGAGTCATGTACCATCGTTATCTCACAATAATTAAAAACAATCTAGCAATAAATCAACTTAAAACACTAACATATTAACTTCCAAAATACCCGAGTAAATATCTCTACCGCCACGGCCTCCATAGCCGACGAGTCATCACCAACTCTCTCTCACAGACGCGCATTTACCATTGTAAATCGCACATGTGCATCTCTCTTAGACTACACACGAGACGGTCTATACAGACCACGACCTCCGCTAGTACTACACGCCCACCGCACATCCACGGACTACTTGAGTTGCCCCAAGAGACACCGACTTCCAACGGGCTACGGCTACGTATTAGTTACTAGTACGGTCGACTTTCTACGGCCGGTAGAGTTCTCACTCGCATTCACATAACCAATTAAACTCATTTATCATCATCAGACATTTCATTAAACTCCACTTCGACTTCGACTGGTACATGTCCCTCTGGCATCTTACGTAAACGATCATGAGCATACTTGTAATTACGTTTACTATTCAAGGCTTGTAACGTATAACGATCCCCATCCAAAACTTCAATTACTTTCAACGGGCCCTTGAATTTTGGGTCGAGTTTGATTTGATTTCTTTCCTCGTTCTGTAATAACACGAAATCACCTACTGAAAACTTTGTTATTTGAGCTTTGGTTTTGTCAAACCTATCCTTTTCATATACGGCAGATCTCTGAATATTGTCAGATGCCTGTTTACGCAGTTCGTCGATATCAATTTGTGTTTCTACCTTGCTACACATTAACGACTGTAGTATTAATATGTTGTCTATTGTTCATTTGACTTTGTCAATATGAATTCAGTATATGTCTAATGTAACTAATATTTTTATGTTGATTAAAGCCAATATTCTAATGATAAATTGGTTATTTCTATCAATTTAATCAACATAAAGAAAGCTGATAAAAATGTCGAAGGAGAAACCTGAAAGTTCTACGGAAGAAATATCAAAACAAATGTCAAATATGTCTCGCTATCTCCGACCGGAAAGATTTGAATCTGAACCGAATTCTGTGATGGCCGATCTCAAATGGAACCATTGGTTAGCTACGTTTACTAACTTTTTAAACGAAGAAGGTCCTCATATTTCTACTGAGTTGAAATTACGTTTGCTAATTAATCATTTGGCACCTACAATATTTTCCATAATAAGAGATTGTATTACGTTTGAAGATGCTATAAAATTATTGAATGATGCGTATATAAAACCTAAAAACGAAATATTCTCTCGTCATGTACTTTCCACAAGAAAACAACTGACAGGTGAATCGATAGCTGAATATATACAAATGTTAAAAAATTTAGCTCATGAATGTACCTTCAAAAGTGTTACAGCAGAAGAATATAGACAAGAATATATACGAGATGCCTTTATATCGGGGATAGGTTCAAAACAGATTCGTCAACGACTTTTAG